CTCTTATATTGCTTTTTTAATTTTCAGATCGACTTTGTTGCACATGATGATATCCCCTATTCTTCTGCTGGCAGTGATGATGTTTATAAGCATATAAAAGAAGCAGGTGAGTCTGAGTCAGGATTTTTTTGCAGTGGGATTCCTGTTGAAGATCTGTTGAGTCTCTCCTATCTGGCAGGGTCACAGTGGGGAAGTGATTGTGGCCTCTGGGAACAAGGTCCATCTAGGAGGCTCTGAGGGCAGAAAGAAAAATGTTGGTTTTGGGTATTAGTTCACAAGGCCAAGACTGTTCCACATTCCAGATTAATTCTTATTATGAAGCTGAAATCTTGTTATTGTGATTAACAATCTCCTTTTGGAAGAAGAAAATGACTTGGCTTACAGATTCTCACCAGTGGAGAACCTTACAAGTTCACAGAGTGCACCCTCTAGCTGATTGCTGTAAAACTCAGTGGGGGTGCAGCTGACATTAAGCTGTCAAAACTGAGCCATCAGAGCTTACAGTTCTACCTACGAATTTGCAGTACTCCCTATTCTGTCCTTGTCACCAGACACTTCCAAAAGCAGTTGACTGTACTCAGTAGTTTTCAAACCTGCTGAGGTGAAGAACTGGAGCTTTTTAATTAAAAGATGTATTTGTATTTCAGTAAGAAATATTTTTTGCATGCTGGAGTCTTAGATCTTCCTCATGGTCTAAGAGAGGAGTGTGGTATTGTACAAGGGCAAAGACGTGGTGGTGTGAGGACAGGTAGCAAGTGTGCTCATGGCAGAGGAGGTGGTTTACTAATAGAGGTGGCGGTGTGTGTCTTGCTGCAGTTGTCCTGAGTCGTGTTCTCCACCTTCAGGCATGTTTGCACCAACGCAGAGGACTGAGGGGATCTCAACATCAGATATCATCACCCGGATCGTGCGGGACTACGATGTTTATGCCAGGCGGAACCTGCAGCGGGGCTACACAGCTAAAGAGCTCAACGTCAGCTTCATAAACGTGAGTAGAAGCGTGTTTCACCGTAAGTTCTTGTTCAGAAAAGTTGTGGGTGCCACCTGGAGCTGCAGGAGTAACAGTGCTTCGTCAGGGAGGAAGGGCACGCTCTGTTCCTGTACCGAGTGGCTCATAGCACAGAGGTAAAATACACCACAGGAGGCTTTTCTGATGTTGGAAATAAAGTAATAAACATTTCTCTTATCGCTCTGACACTGTGCTTTTTTAAATACAATTAAGTCAAAATAAAACAGGAGAGGTAATGGCTGCTTGGCCTTAATTTGGCATGTAATTCTGCCTCTGTTTAAGAACACCCAGTAAAAAGTATTGGCGTGTCATGATACACAAGAAGACCTCCAGCAGGTCACTCAAATCTAATCAGTATATTTTATAAATATTTGCTTCTTCCTTGCAGTGTGCTTAACTAGTCCTTATCTCTGGGTTTAGTCATGCTTTGTGAGCTGTGCCAGTGGCTGCCACAAAGCATCTCACAGCCCCACTGCGTGTCTGCCTTCTAGTCTAGGAAAGAAGCATCACTGAAGTGAAGAAGTGTCAAAACTCATGGAGATGCTGAGTCTTAAGCAACAGTTAGGTGTAATAGCAGAACAGAGGTGGTCGCCACTCAGATCTGGTGAGCTGTATTCTGACCCACTGCTTACTCAACAGGAGAAGAAATATCACCTGCAGGAGCGTGTGGATAAGGTGAAAAAAAGGGTGAAGGATGTAGAGGAGAAGTCAAAAGAATTTGTCCAGAAAGTGGAGGAGAAGAGTATTGATCTCATTCAGAAGTGGGAAGAGAAGTCTCGAGAGTTCATTGGCAATTTCCTGGAAATGTTTGGCCCAGAAGGTGCATTGGTAAGGAGCTGCTCTGGGAAAAGGAGGAAGGAGCTTTGGGAGGGCTGGGCAGTCAGTATGGGGCCCCTGGAGCCCGCCCTCTGCAGAACAAAGCCTCTGGTTTGTTGCAGTGCTGGCTGTGTTGCCACTCTCCAGACAGGCTGTCCCAGGCTTGGGCGGCATTGTGTCCCGAGATCCCTCACCACTGCCAGCTGAATAAAGCCAGTAGCCATATGAAAAGTCTCTATTTCCCAAAAGCTGGTTTGTGAACCTTGGCTTGCATCCTGCAGGCTAGAGAGCATCCAAGAGATTGACAGTCACTTTGTCACTGGGATGAAATGGGTCTGAAGCGATGGGTTTTTGCCAGGCTGTGGTGCTGGCTGAATGTCACACACACTTCATTCTGGAGATGCTTGGAAACGGTGAAACTGGATGCAGTATCCATAGGCTAGATCTAAGATTGGGTTCCTTCTGTTCTTATATTGCATGAAGCACTGAAGGGACTCAGCAGCACCATATGCTGCACAAGCTGTTAGTACTATCCATATCCATCTCTGAGCCATGCTACCTTTCTGCTTCCATCACCAGAAACACATGCTGAAGGAGGGCAAGGGCCGGATGCTGCAGGCCATCAGCCCAAAGCAGAGTCCCAGCAGCAGCCCCACGCATGACCGCTCCCCATCTCCCTCCTTCCGCTGGCCCTTTTCAACCAAGACTCCCCCTTCCTCGCCAGCCAACCGCTCCAGGAACGAATCTGCAGTCACCTACGACATCAGTGAAGATGAAGAGGATTAAACTGCCAGCCAGGATTTGCTGCGAACTGCTGATCGCTGAATCCTAAGTCCAGACCCGCTGGGGGGGGGAACTCTAAATGAACAAGAGAGCCATAGGAACAGGGCTGATGGTGAGTGTAGGGCCTTGAAGGCACTCACTGCTCTTAGCAAGGGCTGCTGCCTGGAAGCACATTCAAACCTCCTTTCTCTTCTCCCCAAATTCCCTTTTTATTGTTTACGTTCTGGTGTTTTCCAGGGGAAAGATGGTTTTTATATTTTAAGAAACTAGTCTTTTAAAACACGAAGGATAGCACCGAAGCGCGGCTCTTCTTTTTGGTTTCTTTTCTCCTCTTAAATTCTCCAGGTGAGATGGAGAGTGGTAAGACCAATCTGACCCTTTTTTCCTCCAGCTCTTCAGTCTTATATCTCCCACCCCCAGGCATTATCCATGCCACTGCCAAATGAAAGATCCCTCAGTTCCTCAACCAGCAGCACCTCAACAGCACACAGGAAGCAGCCTTGCATAGAGGCTGCTAGGAAGTAGGGTCCTCTGTGCTGCACAGGTGTGAATGGAACCCATCTGGCAGACTCTGTAGTGCTCTCACACCTCTTAGCTGAGCTTGCCAGCGTGTCACAGCAAGGGTGTGCTGGGATGGGGCAGCTGGCTTAGAGTGCATGAGCTACACCCTGGAAGAAGTCGCAGCTCCACAGCTGCACACCCTGTAAGCGTGCAGTATTTGCAGCTCCAAAACTGCGCAGAGGGCTGCAGGGGAAAGGCCTTTCCAGCCAGTCTTAACAGGACTGCTAAATCTTTTGATTTAAACATTGAGCCTTCGGTTGCTGTTGGAGAGAAGAGAGTGAATCTTTGCTTCAGGGCACTTGCTGTCTGTGCATTTCCTAGGGTGTGAGAGAGCCCAGGTAGGAAATGAATGTATGTATGCCTTTGGGAAGCTCCTTGTCTCAGTCTCTGCTGTGTCATGAGTTTTACTGTCTGTCCAAACAGCACTTCAACACTATGCTCTGTGCGTGTTTGTGTTTCAGTTGCTGGCTCTAGGGGCTGGAGCAGTCCTTAACCCTGGTGCCGTGAAGTTGCTGCTATAAGGATACAACATGACCTTGTACAGCCAACTCACTGTCCGTGTGAGTGTGTGCAGCTGGAAGGGCACATTTCACCCCAGCAGAGGGCCACAGTCCTATGTGACAGTTCCCTGCCTTGCACAAATTTGTGCCCATTTAGTCTGCTTCTCAAGGCAGGCCAGAGAGCCTCCAAGCACGGCAGCCTTTTTGAGATTTTAAACATGTAATCTGCTCATTTGAAATCGTGACCCTAGTCTTGCCTGCTGTTGTGTTTGTGTAGTGAGCATTGAGCTGCATGGCCTCCAGCTCTGCCTGCTGTGTGCCCATGCGCTGAGCCCCTCCTGCACTCTGTCCTGGTAGCCAGTGCTGGAGGGAGAGGGCTGCTGCCTCCCACTTGTTTATCCATTCAGGTTTGCCTGTGACATCCAAAGTCTCTGGGTGAAGCTGCTGGGCTCCTGCAGTGCTGGGAGCAATACTGCAGGGCTCTTACAAGCAGGACATGGGGTTTAGGGAGCAGCAGTTGCAAGGAGATGAATCCAAATGCTGCCGCAAGCTCTGGGCTGAGCAGTGCTGCCAGGGATGCTCCAGGGAAGGAGTGAGCTGCTGCTCATCAGCTTTTACCTTGCTGATCTGTCACTGCCCTGAGGGCTGGATGGGAACTTGTAGGAAATAAATGGTTTTTGCTCCGTGCTTCTGTTGAGGCTAGAGCCTGTGTGAGAGTATTTGGGGGATTCCTGATCTGCCACTCGGTCCTCCAGCAGGGATGTGCACAGCTCTGGGAGCATGGCTGGCTGCTGTAGATTTTGAGCTGTACAGAGCGAGTACAGTCACTTGGTACAAGCCAGTTTTTACTCCCCTGGTTTATGAGTGATAAAGCACTTCATTTATATCACCCGTGTTCTTTCCTCCCCACCTTTCCCACCTCCCCTGGTTTGCCCTTCCCTCACTCTGGATGTTACCTTGCTTTCCCCAGCCAGGCCATGCTGTGTCAGAACCTCACTACTGTTCTAAACATGAGTTAAGCAGCAGTATTCTGTACTTGGGGATAACAATGGTGTTTCAGATGGTGGCTTGTCTCGTGAAGACCCTGCATATTCCTTGGTGTCTGCACAACCTGGGGTGCTTGGTAAGAAGACAGACATGATTTTACACGTAGCTTGGAATAACAGAACTGTTCCTCATAACCAATAATCCCTGCTTCCTCCTTGCACTTAAATTAAAACGGCCACTTGAATTGTACACTAGTATTTTATTTATTGGCTTTTTAGTTTTGTTTGTCTCCTCTTGAATTGCTGCCTCCACCCCCAGTTCTGTCTTATAAATATGGCAGTGCTTGGTCTTCGTGCAAAAGACACGAGCAGAGTTCTCCAGGAACATCTCGTCTCTCTCAGATGTGTGGTGCTGCTGCTTCGGGGCTGTCCTGCATATAACCCTCAGCCATCCCACCCTCTTCAAAAGAAGCACCTGGAGGAGAACCGAGCATGAGTTAAGAGGCAGACTGGCAAAATAAAACTTCACTAGCATGCATTGAAGAACATGCAGTCCTATGTGGAATTTAATGCTGCTAAAGCCAGAGGCATCAGCTTCTGTGAGACAGTCCTGCCCGAGAGGGATTGTACTGGGATTATTGGGATCCAGCTCTCGTAACCTGAGGTGGGTGCTGGAGCTGCAAATAGGCTGGCAGTAGTGAGAACAGACCTTGCCTCTTCCCCTTGTGCCCTCCAAGTGCTCACAAGGGCTCCCAGCTGTAAGAGTTGGGTTTCCTGCCTGTCGCAGGTAAGGAGCTGGTCAACAAGGTGACCCAGTCCCATTCTCTGCTCCTTGACCGTGTGCTGCATGTGCCAAAACTCATGAGCTTTCTGGGCCCTGCCGCTTGTGTTGGTGCCTACGAGGCTGTTGATGGTGGTCATGGTCTGTTGCTAGGAGTGTGTTGAGTTGTACAATCTTAGCCCTGCTCACTGAAGTATCTGCTGGCTGAGCAGTTTCACTTTGAGCTCAACTGCCCGCAAAAAGTTTGAGTCACTTCCCACTGCCCCTGGTGGGGCAGAGCTTTTCCCTGAAATGAATGAGCTGAGCAAGTACGAACTGGGAGCTCTGCCTTTCCTACTCCTCCTTTCCCCTGTGCGTTGTGCTGAGCAGAGGCCGTGTGATGGGAGGTGAGAAGTTTTGGTGGTGCCCAGCAGCAAGCTCTGCTCTTAGCACCCGTGATCTGCCCATCTCTGACCATCAGTTGGTCGTGCTCTCCCTTCCAGCCCCACCTGCCTCAGGCTGGCTCTTCCCACTCAGTGTCCGCTGTACTGGTTTGTCTGTATGGCCCTATGTGCACAACTCTGTGTCTTACTTGTGCTGGAGTTGTTTTTGTTTTTTTGTTTTTTTGCATCTATGATTAGCCAAATAAATGCAAAATCATTTTACTCGCTGTGTGCCACGTCCCTTCTGCTGTTCTAGCACAGATGTATTTTCCTCATCTTCCATTTTAGCCACGGTTTGAAGGAGAAGAGGCTTTGGGGATTTTCTACCACCTGAAATCGTGTCCTGCCCATCAAGGACAGGAGGAGATCCAATCCCAGCCAGCACCACAACGTGTGTACAAAGTTATCTTTATTGAGTGCCAACCAGGAACCCCCCAGGCTGGAGGGCTGCTTCCAGATCCCAAAATGTCCTTTCCCCTTCTGCTGCCTTTGCTCCCAGCAGGCTTCAAGGGTTGTGCTGGGCTGGCAGCACACTGGCAGCTCTGCCCTTGCACCCTCCTCTGCTCACACCTAGGCACTGCTGCTGGTGGCTGTGATGCTGACAGGCTGGTAGCCCGGCTTGTCATCCTGCTTGCGGTAATACATCCGTGCCACCACCACCAGGATGAAGGTCTGCGGGATTAACAGCTGCATGTTCATCTCTGAAAACAGGAAACAGAGATTATTTGAAGGTATTTTCACCAACCATGTCCTCTCCCTGCTGCGTGCTGGAGATGCTTAGCCAGGAGCCAGCACCCCTCGCCCCGAGCTCCCAACTCACGCTGTGACCTGGCCTTGGAGGAGAGGGGTGGCGAGCAGGCAATGTTACCGTTGTTGGCCAGGATGCTGAAGATGGCAGGCTGCAGTGCTGTCAGCACGAGGAGAACCTGAAACCAACAGCACTGCCCGTCACGGGGACCCACAAGCAGCCACTGCTCTCAGCAACTAAGCCTGACTCTTCCCATTGTCACACTGCCTCTCTCTGGCCGAGAAGAGCTCTCCTCGTGCTTCAGGTGCTCCGTAAGCTGCTGGCTTACCTGGAAGCAGGTGAACTTGGCCTGCATGTTCTGCTCCTTAAGATGCAGTCGTGCCTGTCGGAAGAGGATACCCAGTGCCCACAGCCCAAAGAGGGTGGAGGCTCCGATGACGGTGTTGATCCAGAGTGCCACGCTCTCCGCCGAGATCTGTGGGAACAGCAGCTGGCAGGGCTGCCCTGTCACACATGCCCCTCCCTGTCCTCCACCGTGGCACTCACATCAGCAGGGTTGTAGTTCCCATCAGTGTACAGGACCAGTCCCAGGAAGATAGAAGCTGTTTTCAGGAGGACGTACTGGAAGGTCCCCAGTATAAGCAGCCGAAGCTTTTTCCTAGTGTGGGGAGAAGTTGATTGCATCTCCCTGCCTGGGACTTGTCTCATCCCAGCAGCCCTGCCCCATCCCTTCCTCACCTGCTCATGGTGATGCGGGGCAGGCAGGGGCAGCAGCAGCAGCAAGGCCCGGTGCTCACCACCATGGGCACGTCCTTCAGGGTGCTGAGCACGGCCTCCTTCCCCCCAAAGCCCTCCACCATAACCATCATCATGACATAGAAACAGGTGGCAAAGTACCTGGGAAGGAGGAAAAGGAGGAAGAGGAGGAAGGTGCAGAAGCAGCCAGGCCCCATTGTCCCAGCTCAGGCCATACTCACATCGTGGTGGCCATTTCCACCACCATCATGGAGCGTGGGATCCACAGCCCGAAGCAGCTGAACACAGTCACGACCTGGAGGAGACATGTGCTGTGCACAGTGCTGTCCCCCATCCCCACGGGGGTTCAGACCCCCGGTGCCGCCCCCAGGCTCAGCTCACCGTAGGGGCTGAGCTGCTCCAGCAAAGGGTCTTCATCTTGATGGGGCAGCTGGTCTTGCGGTAGATATAGAGGGCTTCTTCCACGTAGATGATGACTGACACCAGCGTCAGGATGGTGGCCAGGCCCGTGATGGAGAGTTGGATCATATCCAGCTCTGCCAGAGAGGGGCAAGAACTTGGTTCTGTTGAGTCCTGTCCTATTCCCCCCTGTCTGGGGTAGGGGGAATGAGACCCAAGCAGCGGCCTTCTGCCACCTCCATCTGTCTCTCATCCCCCTCCTGCTCCCACAGGGGACAAGAGGGGAGTCCCCCCACGCTGCCCACTCCCCCCACTTACGCTGCAGCAGCTGCCAGGAGGTGGGTGGCAGGGAGAAGCACGCGGCCGGCACGCTGAAGTTCCGCATCAGCATCTCCACCAGCGGCCGAGGGAACCTGCAGTGAAGGGGAGTGCTGCTGAGAGCAAGCAGGGACATGGAGACACCCGGCCCCTCGTATCACCTCTTCCTCTATGTAACCCAACTCCCACTGCAAAAAGGGGTACAAAGCAACTCAGCAGCATGGGGATCCCAGGCACCCACCTGGGGTCATCTGCCAGCTCTATGGTGGGGTCCATTCTGTCCAGCTCTGTCCCAGCAGCTGCGGGGCTGCTCGGCACTGCGTTGGTTTACTTGTGCTGTCCCCACGCAGGGTCAGAGTCCCGAGGGCAGGGACCGCAGGGAGGCTTTGGTGTCTCATTCAAGTTTAACCAGCTCTGGGCGCTCATTGGTGAGGCCTTGGTTCTGGCCCAGCCCCACAAAGTGCCTTGGCCACACGGTTATCGACCTGGGAGGAGTGTCTGTGACATGTGCCATCGTGCCTGCGTGTCCCCAGAGCTTGGTATGCAGGGCTCTGTCTGCCCACCCTCTGGGCACCCCACAGATGGGCTTGGGTGGTCATCCCATGGTGCCTGGGCCCCCTGGTCCCCATGTGTCCCCCTGTTGGGGCACAGAAGGAGTGGGGCAAGATTTGGTGTCACACTGCCTGCCACCCTGGTGCCACTCTGACCACTAGGCCATGGGAAGCCTGGCAGATGGCTGAGCGTCTGTCTGTCCTTCCTATCACTCTTGTGGCTTTGCAGGCGCATGGCAGCAGGTGAGAAGTTTGCAAGGACTCAGCTCCCAGCAGTTAACTGAGCACCATGATGCCAGAGGGCAGAGCTGGTACCACTCAGCACTGCTGCTCAGCATCAGCCCCAGACACAAAGCTGTGGCCTGGGGAGGGGGCACTCTGAGCTGGGAATTGGGATTCAGTGTGTCCCTGCTCTGAATGGACTCCTGGGAAGTGGGCATGCTCACGCTCCTGGTGCCCTCCCAGCACCCCAAGGAAAATGAGCTCTGGTATGCAGTGGGCTCCTGCAAAGTTCAGAGTGGCACTCACACCCTAAAAGACTCCCCAGCACTTGGAACAGGAAGCTGCAGTTGCCATGGGGTGTAGCAGGGATGCAGTAGTTACCATAGCAGTGGAACACAGATTGTTGTGCCACAGCTGCCAGGGAAGGGGATCCAGTGCAGCCTGTGAGGCCCTGCAGCTGCTCTGCTCGCCATGGAGCTCTTTGATTCCTTTCCTTTCAGCATCCTCCTGGTCCTGCACCTGCTGGTCTCATACCCGTAAGCCACTGCACTGTAGCACCCATGGGGTGGCAGAGCTGCCCTTTCACATTACCAGCTCAACCTGCTCCGTGACCACAGCTCTATGCCCTGTTCCATCCCACAGGTACAGCTGGCTGGCCCTGCACAGCTTGCCACTGGGTCCCTTCTTCACCACCATCCTCCTCATCCAGGCTGCCACCAGTCTGCTGGCATTCAGCTTCTCCAGCCTGGAGTTCCTCCGGACAGGTGGGACACAAGGATACAGGGGGACGGGGCAGCAGGGGATGGCTCCAGGTCTGGAAGGAGTGGGGTCCCTGTTGTGTCACCTGCAGGAAGGACCCAGAGGGATGTGCTGGAGCAGAGCAGCACAGTGAGGCGGCAGCGCTGCCACCATTCCTGCTGGCATCAAATCCTCTGCCTTTGCTGTGATAGCTGCAAGAAGGTAAAGGACGAAGTGCTGCACACCTCCAGTACATTGCAGCCCCACTGATCGTATCCCACACCCCTCTCCCTACACCCTGCACCCTTTATATGCATACCCAAGTGTGCATGCTGTGCAGAGGGGACAGTGAGACCCTGGGTGCCCCTGGTCCCAGTGGGGTGCCCCGCTGCCAGCACCCCTCTGTCACAGCCCTTCTGCCAGCATTGCCAGGCACCGAGGCAGAACATCAGGTCCCAGCATTGCCCACGGCATCGTTCCACCATCTCCTATTACCGCTGCATCCACCTCCTGTTGACGGTTGCTACATCCCAGTCCGTGGCAGTGCAGCTGTCCTGCATCCTCCTCCCGTTGCTCTGCCCCCTGCAGCCCATCACCCTGCAGAAGATCGACGTGTATCCTTGGTGCCAGGAGGCAGAGCCCTGCCCTGACATGCACATGTGTCTTGTACCCTGCGGTGCCGTGTGGGCTGTGCATGCTGGAGCCTGTTCCCTTTGCTGCGCATATCCCTGGTGCACGATGTGCTCGTGGCTGTTTGTCCCTGACTCACTTTATAGAATCACAGTCACCCTCTTCACCATCCTCTACCTGAACCCCATCGTGCTCTGGGCCCTCTGGGGCACCCGAGCGCAGCGCACACCGAGGCAGCGGATACGGCCACAGGGCACCAGAGCAGTGGATGGCACCATGACGCATCGATGCTCCACACAGCTCAATCCCACTGTGCAGGCACTTGAGCGCAAGGAGGTACCCACACCACCCATATCATCCCTCTCCATCCCCTCTCAGTGACACCACCTGCACTGAGTCCCCAGCTATCCCCATCCCAAGGGTCACACTGTGCCACTCTGCACTCCCAGGCTTACACCTGCCTATGCTGTGCCCTATGGAAGTCGAGGTGAGTGTGGTGCCCGGTGTGATGCCCCAACCCACCAGGCACTGTGGGGACTGTCCCCGTCCCACCCTGCCTGGCTGCTTCTGACCAACACCATCAGTGCTGAGACCATCGCTACCAACTCCTCCATGAGCTCACCACCATCCAACAACTGCTCGGTGCTGGCAGTGTGGACATCACCCCATCTGGATGCAGCAATGTCCCAGGAACAGGAGAGCCAGCAGGTAGGGCAGTTACGTCCCACAGCCAGCACCAGCTGTGCCAGCAGGACACAGCGTGCCTGCAATGCCATGTTGACATCTGGCCCTGCCATGGAAATGGTTGTGGAGAATGCAGTGCAGTGGGATGAATGGGATGGGGCAGCTGGGGGCTTCTCCTCTTGTTTTCTGCCCCCATCCCCGCACAGTGGCCCCAGGGTCACTCACCCCTTCTCCCTACAGCCACTCCTGTCCTCACAGGCTGCTGCCTCAGGTAAAGGCCAGGAGGATGAGCAGGAGCTGAAGGCAGGTGAGCATCCATCCCTTGGTGCAGGCAGGATCCCCCTGCCTGCCAAAAAACCCTTCTGCACAGAAGGAAAAGGGAGCTCCCAGACACAGCCATTCACCCACCGGTCTCCCCAGTACCTGAAAGCTCAGGAAATCTCAGTCCCATGGGTGCAGTGCTCTGAGGGGCCACCAGCAGCGCTGGCAGGGTTCTGTCTGGTGGGTTAGCATTTTTCCTTAAACAAAACCATTTGGCCCTTGAAAACCTGCCCAAACAAGCTCACCAGAGCCCTCTTGCCATGCCAACGTTGCCCACGCAGCTGTTGGGTCAGCGTTCCCAATACTTGGAAAAGCTCTGGAAATGGAAATATTTGCCTGGGGTGGTTTTCCACCCACCTCTGGCTCCCTGGGTTGTGGTTGGAGCAGGCCCTGACTCCCAGGACCTTCATCTCCATGCTTTTCTCTCCCTCCCAGAGCCCAGTGCCATGCCAGGTAACCAGGACACCAAGGAGTGACAACCATCACCGACACTGAGGGCAGCTGGCACGCATGGGAAGGCAGCTCATTCACCCAGTGTTCATGCTGTGGTCCATTTGGATAAACAGGCAATAAACACTTCCCTCCATGCACTTTTCTGCCTGGGACTGTGAGCTGCAGAGTCCATGTGGGTGGGGATGGTGACACCTGCACAGCACCACTGCCCCCACCCCATGGCTTTGGGTTCAGGGCAGTGTCCCCACTCAGCCCCGCCACCATCCCGGCAGCACCCCACGAAGCACTGGAAGCAAGAGGATGGACAAAGCTCAAGATAAACAAATAAAGTGCGGCGACTGCAGCACTGAGAAAGGGACAGGAAAAGCTTTCCCAGGGTGCTGGGAGGAAACCACTGGAAGAGGAAGGCTGGAGCAGGACGGGGGCAGGATCCTGCAGCACAGAAACGCTGCACCATCTGCCTTGCAGTGCAACACCCGAACACCTGCAAAGGTGGTGAGTGCGTGCTGCTGTGGGGTTGAAGGATGCAAGAGGTCCTGAGCCCTAAAGAGTCACCGTGCAACGGTCACAGCATCAATGTGCAATAGTCAGGGTGCCCCTATACCCGGCCTCAGTGCAGAGGGGTGGGGGCCACAGGGCCTGAGCCACACCACTGATACTGCCCTTGGAGCCCTGCCCACGGGTGGCCACAGATAAAGGTGGTCTGCAGCTCCCTGATTGCCCCTGGAAGGCAGCAGGCAGGGTGGGAGGAGACATCCCCAGGAGATAGGCCTGGAGGGAGCAAGAGGTGGGGACCCCTGGCAGAGCTGCAGACCCCCACTGCACGTCACTGCTTTGCAGTGGGGAGCACACCCTGCTCACACAAAACCCAAAGCCCTGCAAACCCACAGGGCTCCCGTGCCTCAGTTTCCCCACTTGTAAAATGAGGAGCGATTCCTGTGGCAGGAGGGCAGAGGCAGCTCATTTGCTTCAATGCCTGGGGACAGCCTGTGCCAAGCACTATTTGTAGGACAGGGCTGGAGTTTCTGATGCATTTCACATGGGCCACGCTCCTCAAGGTCACCGCACGAGGCTCTGCTGCAGTCTCAGTGCTCTGCTCCAATGGAATGAATGAAGTCACAGAATGTGTGAACCCCTCGCCAGCTCAGTGGTGTCTTCCCAAAGCTGCTTCCAGTGTCAGACTGGATGTTCGGCAGCAGGAAAGCTACACATATCCATATAGGTGTGTGTGTACCTGTGAGTTTATATAATATATAGGTTCTTATACAACGTGTACGTGCTGCAGAGAGCCAGTAGGGGTGTGCCCCAAGGCAGTGTGTCCCGTGGGCTGGTTATCATCCCCACTGGGGCCACAATCATGCTTCCCAAAGCAGTGCCCCAGGGGCCAGAACCAGGACCTGGCCGTGCTGGCTTTGCCCAAAGGTGTCTCACTGCCCCCAGCACACACACAATGCTGCTATTTTACCGTCTCCAGTTGGGAGACAAGGAGGATGGTGGGAGGCAGGGCAGCCCGTGGTGGCTGGAAGAAGCAGAGCAGGGGCTGGATGGAGCTGTTCTGCAGCTGGACAGAGGCCATCAGAGCAGCTTTGATGGCTCTAGCCACCCTTTCCTTTTGAATACAGCCCCACAGATGGGGCACCTGATAACCTCTCCGCCTCCACCATCAGCCGAGCAGCTCCGGGCTCCTCTCTGTCTGCTTTTCCTCCCAGAACACCAGCATCCAGCGGGGCTGTGCTCTGCGTGGCATGGGCTTTGTCACCTTCAAAGGGGCTCGGTGTGGGGGTCCAAAGGAAGCATTGCAGCCAACAAACACATGGAGGCTCTGCTTCCTCCTCGCTCCTAGCAGAGCCAGAGGTTTCCTGCGGGCAGCCCCGAAGAAAGGCGCCTTGTTGGAAAACAGAGGGGCTTTTTTTCTCTCGTGGCCACCTAAAATATCACGTGTCACTGCTGATGTTTGCATTTTGAGAAGGACGAGGTAGAAGCGTGGGCTCCGGGGCATTTTTTTTGGTCGAGAGTTTATTTTCTTACCCGTCTGTCTCCTATTAGGAGCTCGCAGGTGGAAACGCTGAGGCTTATAGAAAGGCACACCTCATCCCCGCAAATATTCTCTCCAAGAGCCAGCACACACACAGAGTGTTTGGGAAAGGGCAGAGCTGCTTCTGCCCATCCCGCCCCATCGAAGGGTCAGCGGTGGGGAGCACACAGCCAGCCCCGACATTGTCACTGCATGTGTACAACGTGGGCACCGTGACTCTGCATGAACATCGGCACACGCTCGTTTGGCATCACTTAATTAATAAAGCAGCTGCTCTGAGCAGCTGGGACGTGCACAGGCAAAGCAGGACAGTGGTGATCACACCCAGCAAAATCCACAAGTGCTGGCTGGAGGGGGGAAAGAGGCTGGGAGGTGCCTGCACCCACACAACAGCCCTAAGGCCAGTCCTGAGACTGAGCAGGGCTGAAGGATTGGTCCCTGCTGACCACTTCTCTATGGCTGTGACTCTATGACTAAACCTCAGGAGGTCAGAACAAATACCGGACAGCTCTGGTCACTGGAAACAAGCTGAGCCTTTTTCCATTGCCTTCAGAAGTTTTTTTAGCTGTTGAGACAAAAACACAAACATTTTTTTTTTCCACACCAAGTCAGCTTCCCCATCAAGCAGCACCCTGGCCCTGCTGCAAGCGCATCCCCAGGGAAGCACATAAGACAGGGACGTGCCTGGTGCTGGTGCCAGGGTGCAGGGCTGTTGTAGGGTAGAACAGCACACACCAGAAGGTCAGCACACCCAGTTTCCCAGCACTGTGCCTCTTCTCCAGCCTGAGGTTTACCATTGAGGTGCTTTGTGCACCCAGGGAAAGCAGCACCGCTGCAGGACCTCTGCTTGGAGGCACCAGGTTGTTGTGAATGAAGTCACAGGTGTACCTGCAACAATCCTGCACTAAGCGCCATTGCTCGGCCACGCTCTGGCACGCTGCAGCAGGTAGGCTGCCAGCCAGGGCAGGTTTTGCAGCTGTCAGTAACAGGCAGTTACAAGTAGGCAGAGTTCTCCTTCTCCCTGCTAACACCCACCCCAGTTTAAAACCCTTTCTTTTCTTTGCTTCCGGATATTGCTCAGAGAGATTAATCTGCCTTGCAGCAAGGCTTTCCAGCGGGCTCACAGCACAAAGCAACGCCTCTGATTTTGAAGGGCTGCCCGCACCTGCTCAGTTAATTACCCTGACAATGGCTTCAGCAGCAGGAAAGCCACCGGGACCAAAAATCTGCACAAAGCTGCAGGGAAAGCACCAGCCTGGCCCAGCTGTGCATGGGCTGCAGCAGCTCCGGGTGCAGAGCCATCACTCTGCTCCTGGGAACGACTTTCCCCTGCAGAGCGTGACACGGTGCTGCCTTCTCCTTTGTTGTTTTTATTTCCCCAATTTGGGCTCCTCTTCTGCCAAGAAATTCATTTCAAAACCCCCAAACCACAGATACAGGTGGTTAAGTTTAATCTAAAAGCCAACACGCTCCCTTATCTGGGAGGGTGGTTCCCACCGAGCAGCTCTGGCTGCTGCTATCGTTATGCAGCACTACTGCTCTGTGCACCACAGAGCAAATCAGGGGGAAACTCCCAGCTTTACAGCCTCTTCCCAGGCCCTTTTATGGTGAGCAGAGAGGGACTTTTGCCCCTTCCTATAAAGGGACACGGGGGGCAGGTGGGAGCTGGTTGCTGCGGGTGACCCATCCCCATGTCCCACACTCCAACGTCATATGGAAGCACTACAGATCATAGGTGGCATCCCTGGTTTGGAGGGACTCAAACCACAAAGTCTGCCGAGGAAAACTCCAAAAGCTCCCAGATTCAGAAAACAGCTGATTCAGGGGAAATGCCTGTGAAAAGAAAGCACTTTGGGAAAGGTGTCTGAGATGCCTGCCCAGAGAATCAGGAAAGAGAGAGGCAGTGTTTTGCACTTGAGATACAGATGAGCGAGGAGCAGAACAAAGAGGGGCCAAGGGAACTCGTGAGGTTCCCATGATGTGGGGCTGAGGACCCTCTGAGCTGTATCCCAGCCCAATGCCCGCCTTCTCCTCATTGCCTTTTCCCTTTCCACTTCCCACCTCCAGCCCCCAGAGCAGCAGGAGCCAGGCCCAGGGGTGCGATCAAACACGCAGAACTCAAGAGCAGAGCTGCTTTGATGCATCCCCCAGCTTCTGTGCCTATTGTGCTTACATCCTGAGCTTGTTTGTGTGCCGGTCCCCAGCCCCACAGCCCCCTGCTGCTGCCTGGCTCAGGCACTCCCAGGCAGTAGATAAGTGCAGCCAGGCTCACTATCGGGGCCAGGTGCAGCCCCATAGATAGTGGGACTGTAACCACACTGACCCCACAGCACAGAGGGCTCTGGATTGCCAACGGCTCCTGCCCCATCTCTTGCCAGCCCTGCTGCCCACTGAGTGCTGTTCGTTGGTGAAAGCAGTATCAGCCCCGTGCATGCTGGAGATTTGTTCTCGTGCTGCCGCTGTCCCCTTGGGAAGGGCCAGCATCTTGCCAAAAGCCATAACTGGTGCCTGGGAGCAGTACAGCAAATGGTTTGCTTGGAGCACAGGGACAGCTGTTTGTCCTGGCTGTCCTGAGTCAGGTGGGCAAGGTGTGCTGCCACCAAGACACCACAGCTTCCCAGATCCCAAAGCAGGGAACATCTCCCAGGCCTTGGTCTTTGCCAGCGGCCCCATCTCCGTGTGTGCTCTGAGCACAGACAACAGCCCCCATTCTCCCTGCAGGCAAGGTCACTCCCACTGTGCAAGGAGCACAGAGGGATCCCCAGGGCTGTGGAGAGTTAATGTCCCGGCAAAAAACAATGTTTGCAAGCAAGGAAGCCCAGGTGAAAGATGCAGGTTGCTTTAAACCTGCTGGGACATGGTACAAGCTGGAGCCTCTCCCCTGACCCTCTGTGCTGGCCTCCGGCAAGAAGCGCTGCTGTAGCAAGAACCTCCATCCCTGCTTCCCTCCTGGTGCAGCTGCTGGAGGGCTTGGGGTCCTGTGGGAAGACAGAAGTCCCTGAAATAGGGTCTGCATGTTTGTGTGAGTCCCAGAGCACAGCGTCCTTGGCCAGAGCCTCCTCTCATCTCCG